TCCTCCTCCTCTCTCTCTCTCTCTCTCTCTCTCTATATATATATATATATATATATATATATACGTTCCACACGTTCACGCGCACACATATACCCTTTCATTCGCCTATATCGCGCCTTGGAGGGCGAGAAAATATTCGAATCGGGCAACAAGCTGCAACTTGAACCTGTTTTATTTATGCGCTCGCTTTGGGGGACGGGAGAACGTTAATACACGTCGAGCGATCCATTTTCGAAGTGGCCGGATTTATTTCGACAGCACATTAATGGCGGTCCTCGTGGTCGAGATTCGATCTTTCGTTTCGCGAATTTATTAATAGAAAAGTACGTAAACTCATATAATAGATATCTAATAATCTCGAGATCCATTTAATTAAAATTTTGTTCTCCATGATTTATAGTAATTTGAAACTATTTTGCTTGGAATTTGCAAATTTGTTTCCAGAGAATTTTATCTCAATATTTTGCCAATTGTGGTTTTTTGAATTATCAACACTTTGATGCAAAATAAAAGGATGTATGTATGGAAAAAGAGTGTAAAGTGGAATATAAAAAGCATCGAGTGAAATCGTGCCGTCAAAAAGACGAAGGTAGTAGCCACGACAAATCGAGTTATGTCGATATGCAAATCGACAGATCTGCATCCATTTCCTTTTCTCGAATAGGCGAGTAAAAAGGTAACTGAAACGAACCAATACATCACTCTCCTCTCTATGTAATTTAACTATCGACTTGTTTCCTAATCGAGTATTATTCGTGGTCTTTTTATAATTGATACATAAAGATAAAAATAAATCGAGTAAGTTTTAATTTTAAATTTTATTTTACATAGAAGTCAGGATATCGCAGCAAGATATCGAAATGATATTTCCAGAATGGAAAAATGCAGAGATTGACAGAATTTCCTTAAGAATTTCTGATTTTATACATATATTTTTATTGATTATCTATTTTAAAACAAAATGCAATTAATGGTTCTAAATGATTTTACGACACAATTTACGATCGCGTTATATTTCCGTTGATAAATCCAATTGAACTTTCTTATTTGACGTTTATTGCAAGGAGTATTACAAGGGAAATATATGAGAAACGGCGAAAGGATATATGGAAATTTAAGAAGATGGAAATAAGGTAAGTAAATAAACTAAATACGGGGCAAGGATCCCCCTTGCTTCGAGATACGGTACAACTGCGCTTCAGGTCAATTTTCCCAAGTTTCTCGTCACACTTGTCTTCTTCCCAAACATACACCCATAATGCGCACCGTTACAAGTACACCCGCATTTACATAATACCGAACAGATCCTCTCCTAAGGACCTAACCGAGACCCCGTTCAAAATTTCAAACGAAACTTTATTTCTATAAAGAAGACATTTATGTAGAATCCTCTTTTCCCTATACGGTAAATCCTCGACCATTAAACTGACGTTAAAAGCGTGTTTGAAAGACAATTGCGGCCACGAATAAAAACGTGTCTCTTATGCAAGAACGACCATCTTCTCTCAACTTGAACATCGTTTTACATAACATCTAACGAGGTGAATAATTTAAACATCAGATTCAATTAACGAAGGCCTTCTTAAATTGCTAATAATCACGCCGACCGTTTAATGCGGTATATTCAGATTCAGACTGTTCAATTATTCGGAGTTGCAGTTACGCCAATTAAGATTTAATTTAAATCTAGATAAATAAGTCTCGAGCTTCGTTACTTTCGAAATAATCCGAAAAAGAAGCGGCCAAGTATCGAGCGAGACAACCGAATAAGAGAATATCTAAAAACGAGCTTCGAGAATCGCCAAGTTTGTGGCTACTTATTGAGAATACAACAACACTTGGAATGAACTTTTACTCGTTTTATTCTCGGCGGCATTCTCATTCTGAAGTTTCAATCACTGCGTCGCTATCCATGTCCTTGTGTCATGTATTTTGATTAATCCATAAAGAGCTATTGTTACGCGAAATTTCATTTACAAATCTCTTTTGAATATTATTCAATTTTGTTTTCTTTTAGTAAAAGGGAATTTCAAAGAAGTTTGCTTAGCTCTTTGTATCTCAAGATTTGAAAAGTTATACAAAAATCCAAAAATAATTATTAAATCCTTCCTGAATTCTTCTAAAACTTATTATTCTACGGGTATAAATAAATACAAGTATAAATAATATAAATATTCAACATTTTTCTTAAATACTTTTCAATATTAAAATACATGAAGCAAAAAGAAATTCAATCATGAAGAATAATATACTTAATACCTTCAAAATTGATATTTCATTTCTCAATTTAGAATTTTAGAATTTTTTTCCTTATTTGAAATTGAATTACAAAGCGCAAAATAATTAATACACTATCTACAATCTTAAAAATTTGCTATATATTATCCAATGTCACTTTCTATTCTTCCATAAAAGAAGATGGTGGTAAAGCATCAATTTATAAATTTTCACACATTCTCCTCTAAAGCAAATCAGATATTATTCCGCGATACTTCGTTTATTAATCAGTCGTTTCACTCAATCTCAAATTCCTCCTCTATGTCCAAGCATAATTTCCTTAAACAACGACATAGCTACGCGAAAAAACCAAGGACTTATTATTAAGAAATTTGGAAACTTATTTGAAAATTTTTCATTTGAAAATTTTATCCCCTTACGACTTCTCTTTATCAAAAATCTCGTTTCGCTTTCATCATCGTGTTACGGTTACGCGCCACTTTTTTACATGGTTCCCGTATCCAGAATTCTGTGAATTCAGCAAACGTTTTCGTAATTCATAAAATCGTACGTGGGATGAATTTCGTTCAACGTCGCTCGTATATATCGCGCGTATGTAAATAAAGTTTCGCTTGTATGATTAATTAACGCGTAAATAGAGCACGCAACCCTACAAGCTAACGATATGGTAAATGTGTGTACGTCTTCTCATAGGCTAGACATTTAATTTAAAAAAAACCTGCGAACGCATAATTTTCTCGTGGACCGCGTTGTTTCAAGGATCACATCCCCTGAATGTAATAAAACGAATTGAGAACGAATATCAATGGAATTCGTTATGATCGTTTTTTAAACTTGATATTCGTATAATTGGATCGAAGATATTTCATATTTTGTCATTATTTATCATATTTATCAGTCGTTTATCCTCGATAATGATTATCGGTGTTGGAAACGAGAGAAAGAAACGAATGACCAAGCTCAACGAACTATTTTATCGCGAATTTATATTCGAAAATTATCACCGTTGCTTCCGTTTTCTCTCCAGGGAGGAACGAGAAGAAAATATCGGATAATTTCAGAATTTTCGCAATGGTATACACATTTATATCACGATACATAAAGATAATTCGTAGAAAGAATGTGAAACAATGGTTACTTCTATTAATATACCAAGCACAGTTGAGATATATTATATTTCTCCACGATTATATAAAAATTTACTTCTATTCTTTTTCAATTTTTGTCAAATTTTATTTATTTTTCTATCCGTTACTTTTTACCAATTTTTGAATTTCTACGATGCAATAATCAAATTAATTACAATTATCTAATCTAATTAATATTATTTCCGAATATTCTTCGTCTAAATTATCCTAACGTATGGCATGACAATCGTGATATCGAGCAGAGACACCAGATCACCAGATACGCGAACAAATCGCACCACGATAAATAAGGCTGACCCATTTAACGGAGATACTCCTTGGAGGGAATGAATGCATTTCGTATTCCGACGTAGTAGCGAATCGCTTTATAGAATCGTGTCGCGGTAGAAACATACCAATTAGCCCGTTTGCATGGCGTGTACCGTTTCTCCGCCACGCGGGAAATACCCTGGCAAAAACGTTCTTGAGACACATCGTCGCGTTCAACCCTCGTTGTACGCTTTACCCAACCGGCCGCGACGGATGCTGTAACTCGCGGCATGGAATTCACTGGGTTTGAAAACTGGATACGCGAGCTTTTCACTGAGTTGGAACATGAAGAAAATTGTAGTTCATGAAATTCTGGAACGAATGATCTCGAGTCATGATGACCGTATCAAAGTTTAATTTGGTGGAAGTTAAAAAACTTGAGGATAAGTCAATTGGAATAATGAATTTATATTATATTAGGAATAATGTTTTTTCATGGAATTGAATATATAATAACGATTTATTTCTGTCAATTTTAAATATCATTATGTAAAAGATAGTATTATTGTAAGACATTTCTTCGTTTGATTGGAAATTGAGTAATTTAAACATAAGAAGATTTCAAATCCGTAATTTTTTGATTATGAATTATTTCCTGTCAAAGATGGATGTTCCGTATGGATAGGATCATGTATATGTGTTTAGTTCTACATATAAAATCTGTGACATCATCTGACAAAATGAAGAGTTGTATACAAATATTGTTAAAATATTGAAAATGAATAGATTTGTTTGAATAAAGAGATATTATTTTTTCCTTTTTCTTTTTTTTTTTTTTTAACGAAGGCACCTCTATCATTATAATGTAACTATAGCCTATCCTTCATATTCGAAGGGGCGTACATTGGATTAGTTTCATTCAATAACCTTGGAGAAATTACAGATGATCCTGCTCAGTCATAAAGCCTCTTGAATTGAATTCAAAATCTCCCGATGAAAGTGTTTTCCGTTCTCCTCGAATTGAATCCCGTTTCAGAAACTTTCTTCTCATTCTCGTGTTATGCCGATTCCAATAATTGGACGAGATCGTTTGCTCTCCATTTGCGACACCTCGCTACAATTTAAAATTGTTCACAGAGAAAGAATTCCTTAATGAATCGTCTCCACAAAGGTATAAGATTTTTCACAGAATGCTTATATATCATTAAAATTTGCTTTGAAAAGAAATAACTCCTTCGAATCAACGCGATCCATTTGTACGATCAATATGCAATGTTGAAAACAAGCTTGGAAAAATTCAAAATTAATTACACTTTGATTTGAACTGCATAAACATCAGATTCGATGATATAAATATATAATTAGGATATTTATTTAAGAAATATTGACACGTATAGTGGTTATAACTAATAATTGTATATTTATTATAACATCATATTTATTATAACATTTATTATAAGAATTTGTTAAATTCAATTAAATATTAAATTTCATATAGTAATATGACTTTATAAAAATACTGTAAAAATGAAATATCGAACATGTTAAAAATGTAATAAAAAAATATTTTTACAGAAAATGGAAATTTGTACAAATATTTTTGTAGCTACAGGATTATTTTCCAAAAGAAACAAGAAGATAAAACGATCACGTTTAATATTTATTAAAAGAATAGATATCTCTATCTAACTTTAATAAATTCATTTCTCTGGGGTTAAATACTATTTCGATAAAATAAATATTCTCTCAATCTTTTTGAATGATCATGAATATACTCTATTCGAGTTATCGCGCTCTATTTTCTCATGAATGCATCAATTGTTATTGCAAGAACGAGCCTGAACCTTGATCACAAAGTAGTTGCCATCGTGAATCTTCCTCGAGCATATCCCCTATCAAGTATTCCGCCACTACTTTTTAAACCTATAAGCGTGGCACGAATACACGTAGAAGCGAGAAGACGTGGGATTGGCAAGGGTGATATGCTATCCTCTCAAGGTATCCACACACTGAATTTATCTGCCTTCTTTCCCAAGACAATTTTCACTCTTCCGGCAATGTGATTTAGTGGAGGATTGGGCCACGAGAAACAGTAATTTCCATGCATATTTCGCTCGGGAAACAAACCGGTAAATGTATTTATTGCGATCCAGTGGTAAGTCAAAACCGCGTAAGGAAAATATAGGATTTTTCGTAGAACGAATGAATGAAAGGTCGAAAAATATTTTAAATAACCGAAAAAGTTTATTACTAAGATTGAAAATTTTATAAAAATTTAACTTACGAAAACGTTACGAAAATTATAGAAAGTCTTATGATTCGTAATTGAACAAATGTAAATTCAAATTTGTTATTCGTTATATTGATTACTTAATAACGTAAATAAATAAAAATTGAAGTGACGTTTAATTACGCTTGAAAAACTTATGTATTATAAAATTATTAAAAAATATTAAAATTACTATTTTACAATGATAACATTTTTCAATAATTTTTCGCGAAATAATTCTTTCGATAAATTGTTTCGCCGCGAAACAAATGAAATTTTTTATGAAAAGCGGGTCGTTTTTTCATTCGTGTTAAGTTCTTTCAATTTGATGAAACAAAAAAACAAAGAAAAGTGAGAAACATTCGAATGTAAAAATCGAACAAGAAATATTTAATTAGTAAATAATGAAACGAGATTACTAACAATATTTTATTCGACAGAAGCAACGACAGCCGTTAGTTAACTGAACTAATTGGAAAGCGAATTCATTTTGGTGATCGATTTGTCAAATAATCAATGCAGATAGAAAATAAAAAATAAAGAAAAAAAGAGGAATAAAAAGTAGAGATCGACGTTAACACGTGCAATGTAAATATAAAATATTTGTTCGGGAGAATGCACATATATCAGGAGTTTTGCAAAATAAAATACGAAACTCGAACATAACAAGTTTTTCCACGTTACAATTTTAATATCTTTGTATTTTATACGAAACAATTTTATTAATCCATCCAACATATTTCTTTTAAATATCTTTTCTTTTTTAATTTTCATTTTCATTTTTCTTTTTAATTTATTTGTCTTCGTTCGTTCGATTGTTTCCATTTTCTTTATTTATTGCGATTGTTGCAATTTCCTTATCGATGAAAAGATAAGAACAAGACAAGATTAAGTAATTCTTATGCCTTTTTCTCGCGAGCGATATTCACCAAAAGCATATGCATGTAACGCAATAAAATCAACACTGATCATTAAAGTG